GGCAGTTGCGGCGGGTGTGAGTGGGGGTTTGCTTTTTTGTTTGGATGCTGACTGACCTCGCCCGTCCAGCTCATGATGCGTGCCACGAACCCCCGCGAGGTCGCACACATCTTCCGCGAGTACGCGCGCAAGATCCACGCGCGGGCACGCCCCGAGGACCCGAATTTCATACGCCTCAGTGTCGCGTGTGGGAAGGTGTGTGCTCCCCCCCCGTTCCCCTTTGGCCCGCTAACGAGCACACAGATCGAACAATGGTGCGAACATAACTACCCCTCCTTCGTGCGGATCGCCGGGCGCGGCGCCGGCGGAGGCATCTCAGGAGCCATCGACCAGACCGACGCCCGCGGCGCGACGTTCCTCGCGTCGGAGAAGAGAGAGTACGAACGGATGCAGCGAATTCGACAAATAACACCGGCAAAAGTAGAGGACGGCGCGCAGCGGGTGTATGTGGCGGCGGGGGTGGCGGTGCTGTTGGCGGTGGGTGTGGGGGTGGTGTATTTGATTTAGCAGATATCGGATTCGAGGAGATGGCGGGAGAGGAAGACCATATAGATATCTTCAAGTCTTCAATTCTGCTATCCATTATTATCCAGCCTTCCTTTATTCTGCTTTTGCTCTTCCTGAGGAATATCCACGCATACAGGTCGAGGGTGATGGAGGACCAGGGATTCGAGACACTGGGTGTTCATAGTGGTCAGTTATCAGGGGTGCTTGTTTGCGAGTGAACCAAAAGGTCCATACTGGAACACACATCGACAAAGTCCAGCGCGTTACTCTGGCAAAGCGCCGCCGGCATGCTCCACGTTGCTCGGCCCGAACGCGGGTACCAAGTCTTGAAGTTGACTCGAACCTCTCTGTTCTTGCTTTCTGCATCTTCAGGCTTCAGGACTCTCTGTCGTCCTATTTACACGTCCTTGAGAAAGCCTAACGAGACCAGCGGTCGTAATGCTTACAGTGACCTTCGTGAGTTTCGTTCAAGTTCTCCTACAGTCACGATTTCATCTAATAGTAACGACTGACTTCAGATCAGGCATGGTCAGTCAGAGGACAACGTGGTACGACTAATTCTACCGCAGAAAGCTATGTTTTATCTCATTCGGCCACTTAGAAAGAGATCTGGGCAGGTTGGAAAGATGCTCCACTCTCGGAACTCGGTGAATACCACAAAATGTTGCGAGACTGACTCCTGCTTAGTGCTTACATCCACAGGCGTCCAGGCGAGTAATTGCAAGCGACTGTGGTGCGTTGCGATGATCATTTTGCTTTGCAGCAAGCAGCAGCACTAGGCGATGCATTTCTCAAATCGAACACAAAGTTCGATTTCATTTATGCATCCGATCTTCTGCGCGCGCACGCTACAGGTCAGGCCGTGCTAGAATCCCACCCGTCGCCTAAACCACCATTCATTATCGATAACCGACTGCGGGAACAACACTTTGGAATTGCGGAAGGCAACCGTTGGGTGATAAAAACCCCAGCTAGATTGACCCACGAGCAAATGTTCGCTCAGGGAATTTTCCCTGTCCTCAAAGGCCGGAACGCCAAGTTTCCGGAAGGGGAGTCTCTAAACGACCTTGCTCGCCGAGCAGAGAGCGCTATAGCGGACTGTGTTGTCCCACATCTCGCAGCGGCCGCCGAAGGTAACGTCCACATAGCGATCGCCAGCCACGGCCTTTGTATCAGTGAACTTGTCGCTGCGCTGCTTCGTCTGGATCCGGATTCTCGTCGAAATATCTCGTATGCTGGTCTCTTAAACACTGCGTGGACACGCGCCGTTGTGTCTGTAAAGGTGCATGAGTGAACCTTTGTTTCTGTGCTCCAAGATCGCTAACGGAAACAGGACGCATCGCTTGGAGTAACCGTCCGAATCACGGACGTGAACAACGATGATCATCTTGTTTCCCTTGAGGTTGTAAATATTATACTGCAAAGAAACCTCACTAACCGTCTGTATAGGAAATCGAAGATGCCGCAGCTTTGGATGACGATAAGACGGCATTTTTCGCTGGAAAGGCTGTGGCCTAGCTCCAGCAGTAACTTTTGTGCACCGTAGATATTAGATCAAAGTCGAAGTAAGAGCCCCATCGAATTAGAATTGTTTACAGATAACCGAAATGCGCACGAACTCGCACTCCTATTGGGATACGAGTTCGTGGGTGTGGGGAAGAGCTTGGGCGTTGAATTTCCCACGCCTAACTCAGAACTGCCAGGGGATCTACTCCAAGGCGGAGGCCGACTGGGGACGTGGTGGACGAAGTTGGGACGAAGGAAGAGTGACGAAGTCACGCTCGCGTCACACCTTCCGCTCATCCCTTTATTTGCTTCCAATTATCGCCCGATAATTTTGAGCTGCTCGTACCTTGCGTCGCCTTTTTCTCGGATTGAACATGGTTGAATTCGTTATTTCAACATGTTGGCATAATTTTGATCGCAGGAAGCACCTTTGACGTATTTTTCCCACCTCCGAACGCCACACTGGCACTCGTCTCACCACCGCGACTCCGACAAGCTCATGGGTTCTACGATCTCGTTGCTGGGGCGAGATCTCAATGTAAACCCTGTCTCCGCCATCCTTCTGGTCTTCGGTCTGTGGGCACTGCGTCGCATTCTCACCATCGTGCGAATCTTGACAGCGAGTGAATTCCAATTGCGGCTCGTTTTACTTAGCTGAATCACAGCGCCCACATAGGCACCCAGTTTCTTCCCGCGGGTACATACTGCATTCGAACCATTAACCTTGCCGGGTGTCTTGATCCCAACAACACCGTGGACTACAGGGCTTGACTGGCATTGGGTACGGCGTTTCCAGTGTAAGTCTCTCCGAATCGCATTGCGATCCAACGTACATCGCTTCATGTCATCTCAACCAGTGTACACGCAGAGCGAAACGGTCGCTCTCACCCCCATTATCTCGGGAAGTCCTGGCCTGTGGACCTCGAACGTTGAGGTTGGACGACAAGTACTTGCCGGTTCAGATGAAACCAGTTTCTGTAAACCTCAGTGGGCCAGTCAACCCTTTCCGTGAGTCCACGCCATATTTATTTAGAGACTATCCGTCAACCGTTTACAGGCTATGGGGCATGAACTTGGTTGCGGCAGATGGACAAATGTGGCGGAAACACAGACGTATTGTCGATCCTGCATTTAACCGTGAACTGTCAGTGTCACGTCTCGGCGCGCAGCGCGCAACCGATTCGACCTTGATTTTTCCATGCGTGATAGATATAACTTGGTTTGGGAACAGACCACTAAGACCTATCGAGATATGGTTCAAACAGACGGGTGGAACACGAAAGATGTCGTGAATGTCCCGGTCATTCAGAATTTAACTTCCAAGGTTTTGTTGCCACATCTCGCATTTCAGGCTCAACTAACTGGCGGGCCAGTTGGTTTTCCTGATCATGGCTTCTTGTGGTCTCGGCTTCGAGGCTACATGGTTGGAATATTTTGACTTCATTTCAACATCAATAACGAACACGTATTTTCAAGGGCAACTCCTCCCACTCCCAATCATAAGCATCGCCAAATATCCGTACAGGAGGCACTGCGCATAGTCGCAGATACCCGTATGCTCACGACCGCTGTCCCCAAGTGGCTTTTGCGTTTGCCGATTCCAAAGTAAGAATACAGAAAACCGCAGGCGGGTTTTGCTCTAGCTTCTCTATCCAGGTTTACAACAGCACGCATGGCGCGCCACAGACTCTCGGCATTTATGCGTGGGCAAGTCACTGAACGCAAGGCCGAGGTCGCAGCTGGTAGTACGCGCGCGGACGCATTCACGCTACTCGTTAAAGCAAATCAAGACGAGTCCACCAAGTACCAGCTCGACGACCAAGAACTGGTCCGTGTTTACGATACTTGTCATACTCGTCTTGAGTGTGCTAAAATCTTTACTTGCAGATCGGAAACATCTTGGCGTTATTGTTTGCGGGACACGGTATCTAAATCGTTTGCTCGCTCATCTGATGGTTGATTTACTCTCCTAGAAACAACTGCACATTCTCTGGCCGGGACACTCGGGTTCATGGCAATGCACGACGAAATTCAAGACGAAGTTGTGGAACACATAATTTCCGTGGTGGGCAATACTCGTGAACCCGTAAAATGTATTCTGCAGGAAATCATGGCTGTGGCTAATGTAGAGGGTCTGCACAGCAATTCGAAGATTATTCGAAACTGGATCAAGTTCGTGCGATATTTTATGAGTCTGCACGCATGTTCCGTGAGTCGTTGACACCATTCAGGACCATTTGCTTACAACTGCCCGAAAGCCGCTGAGCATGTTCTCATTCGCGAAGCAATTGAGGATACAGTTGTGACAGTCTCAAATCCTCCAGATGAGGAGGGCACCACGGACGTTCCCATTTCAAAGGGTACTCGAGTACGATTATTTCGATTTCAACCAATACCATAGCTGACCTCCCGCCAGGTCTTTGTTGACATGATCGGTGTCCGTAAGTTACAGTCAGAAAACCACTACGGTTTCGGTCTCAAGGAATTTTCATTTTGCCAGACTACAACCCTCGCTATTTTGACAATCCCCATGTGTACAGGCCATCACGATGGTACGGTCTCCCGCCTGACTCGGAATTGTTCACCGCGTTCAGTGTCGGTGAGTGGTTTTTAGGAAACAACATTGCGAACAAACTGAAATGCAACCAGGTCCACGTGCTTGTATTGGTCGAAGATTCGCGACAGTCGAGGCGACGTGCTTCTTGGCACTCTTGTTACGAGACTGGAAAGTGAGCCCCCTTCTTCGCAACGGGGAAAGCAAGGACGCGTGGGGAGCAAGAATGATGGAGGCAAACATATCATTGACACTCGGTGTGCGCAATGTTCCGCTCAGGTTTGAGAGAAGGAACGACGCATAAACTTAGCTAGACGTGTATTTTTTAATAGAAATTAGTGGCCGGAATGATGGATAACCGAAGGTGTACTAGTATCAGAGGGATTTGTCGTGGCGCAGGGTTGGCTCAAAGGAATGCAAAAACAAAAAGAACTGATGAGAGTGGGATTCGAACCCACGCCCCGGAGGACCAGATCACCACTGTCGTGATGAGTTGAGCTTCAAAGAAGCTGATCCTTAGTCTGGCGCCTTAGACCGCTCGGCCATCTCACCCTTCGGTGCAGAGCAGATGGGAAAGGTCTAGACGTGTCTGAATCAAACCCAGTCAGAGGTCACAGCGGCCAGCCGTTTAGTTGAGGATGAATCGGTACTGGCCGCTTTCGTTACCAGGGTACCCCGGACCGATGGCAACGGTATATTTTGCTTCCTTGCTAGACCTCAGTGTTGGGAGGAGACTAAGGTGCCAGAATCCGATCGTCATTTATCATCTTATAATTTTCTTAAGGATTGGCCTAACTATTATGCGCCACCCAATTGTTTTGTGACTTTCCCAAATTTACCTCCCCACGAAGGGTGAGATGGCCCCCACAGCTTGAAGCATGATTACTATATTTGGATGAAGGCAAGATGAAGGCGTAGCAGTGTTTTCCGTTGTTGGTCGTCACACAGCCACTGATGGCAACCCTCGAAAGTTCACAGCTCTCAGCTCTGAGATCTGAGCTCTGAGACTCCTGTCAGTGTGTACTATGTCTGGAATGCTGATCGACATCATGACCAGCGTTGATTCTATGTGACTCTCCTTTCGCGGCTCTCTCCTCATCTTATGGACGTCGTTATGCTCAAGTTCGTGGTCATTGCACTCGTCGCGCTTGGATTTCTCTCCGGCGAATACTCCATCTCCTGAAGACATCTCGAGTAGGTTTCCCTCTTGCTCAGTCGCCCGTACTGAAATCAAATCAAAAGGCTGCAGGGCCTTTCCCGAAGATCTATACCCTATTCCAGCCACTCGCCTTGCCAGGGCTTTTGTTCCCACCACAACCTGGACCACCGGAGGTGACTGGCACTGGGTGCGCCGTTTCCAGAGTGAGTATAGCTGCCATTTTATATGGATATACACCATCAACGGGATCAGCGTACTCTCAAGATGAGACAGTCAACCTCGTTCCGATCTTGTCTGGAACACCCGGACTGTGGACCTCCAACATAGACGTGGGTCGCCAAATAGCGGCCGGAGGCCACAGATCGAGCTTTATCAAGCCCGCATGGTCCAGTCACGCTTTCCTGCAAGTGGCTTTGGATTACCGCGAAGTTCTGCACTAATCCGTCTCCTTTCAGTACGTGGGGCATGAACTTGGCTGCCTCAGATGGACTGGTGTGGCGCAAGCACAGACGTGTCGTCGGCCCCGCGTTTGGCCCAGATTTGTGAGATTTCTTTTGCTCACCTAAACTTGAAAATTCACGTTGTCCGAAGATACAAACTAGTTTGGAAGAAAACGGCTGAAACTTATCGGGACATTTTGGAAATGGAGGGATGGAAAGACAAGGAAGTCGTCGATATTCCCGTCATGCAGAAAATCACTTTCAAGGTCGGCATTGTTACAATCATATAATTTTTTCTCAACGTACACAGCTGGCTTTCTTAATCATCTGCACTTGTGGATTTGGATTTCCAGCTGTTTGGTTCTCCAATGTTCATTACAGCTCCACACTCTAGCTAACGAAAATCAAGGGATGCTCCCCCGCAGGCTGCTGACGGCGGCATGGCGGTACAGGAGGCGCTCAAGATTGTCGCCGAGACCCAGCTACTCTCTCTTATCGTCCCGAAGTGGCTCATGTACGATTCCAAGGTAAGCGGTTACGCCATCCAACCTGAATTCCATTCCCTCATGTGCCTAGACTCAGAGCGGCCCGTGTTTCGCGCGAGAGGCTCCGTGCTTTCATGCAAGAACAGGTCGTCGAGAGAAAGGCTCTGGTGGCCGCTGGTGACACACGTGCGGACGCGTTCACGATGCTTGTGAAAGCAAACCAAGATGAATCGAGTAAATATCGACTCGACGATGATGAGCTGGTGCGTCTGCATTTTCCAGGTTTTCATGCCGCTAATACGGTGTTCGCAGATTGGAAATGTTTTCCTCTTGATGTTTGCAGGTCATGGTTTGTCCTCGTCTAGTTTCCCGCTCTTGAATATTCACGATCTTGTAGAAACTACCGCTCACACATTCGCTGCGACTTTGGGCTTCATGGCAGTCCACGAGGAAATACAGGAGGAAGTTTTTGAGCAGATAATCTCTGTTGTTGGCTGCAATCGTGTTCCTGTATGATGATCAGTTTTCGTTGCGCGCTCTTGAATAACGCTTCCCATGCAGACTTTTGACATACTCCAAACTGGACAAAGTCCTTGCGACGTTCTACGAGGCTTCACGCATGTTTCGTGAGCCGCCCGTTAGATCCTACGCCGCACTGATCTCAATGATTTGAAGCCGCTGGCCACATCCTCATTCGCGAGGCGGCGGACGACACGGTTCTGACCCTTCCGAATGCCGTTGGACAAGAGGGCCACAGGACCGTCCATATCTCGAAGGGCACACAGGTACGTTCTTCATTTCCCCGCATTTACTTACTGATCTGAACCAGGTTATGCTGGATATGGTCGGCGTCCGTGCGTATTGCTCAAGTTACTCTCACCCAGTTTCCCACTCACGTCTCGTCTGTAGAATACAATCCCCGTTATTTTGAGGGCCCGGAGACGTACAAGCCTTCTCGATGGTATGGTCTTCCACCAGACTCGGAGCTGTTCACCGCATTTAGCGTTGGTGAGCAATCATTTCCGGCTCGCTTCCATGAATCTGAGTGAATCGTGACAAGGCCCCCGCGCGTGCATTGGCCGCAAATTCGCCACCGTCGAGGCAACGTGCTTCTTGGCTCTCCTTCTTCGTGACTGGCAAGTGTTGCCCATTCTCCGCGACGGTGAGACCAAGAAGGCGTGGGCCGCACGCGTGATGGATTCGCGCATAGTTTTGACGCTTGGGGTGGCAGATTTTCCCGTCAGGCTCGTGAAGAGGAAGTTTTAGATTTAGTTGTTCTTGCATAAATTCGCGAAGTCCGAGTCGCTGACGCACGACCCGCGCCCGCAGTCTGGGTATCTCTTTCAAAAGAATGACGCACGCCGCAATCGCACCCGGGAATTGGGAGATAGGAGAGCCATGTCGGGACAGTCGCAGATATGATAATACAGGCAATTGCAAACGTCATGGTGAGCGAACACGGTGCGCCCTCGTACTTCGTCGCACGTCACACAACATACCATGATTCGAGATCACTCGCAAGGTCATTGTATCCCGAACCGTTCCAGTTCATATCAGTGTGCTGGTGCTTCAAGTTGATACCGCAATCCTACCCAAATTGTCACAAAAAAATTGGATCATGATCGTGAACCGAGATCACTTGCTCGCATGCATGATTTTCCTTCTCGAAGGGAGCCGAGTGCAATGGAACATCCAGCAGTCCTGGTATTGTTCCTGACTGTTTCAATCTACATCCGCCTTCTCCACGTTTCGGAAAATGTCTCGGTTCCATCGAAGAGGCTGACACGGGGACCGACCATCGACAGTTACACTCATGTCTCCTCGACTGCACACTCCTACCTCTTTCGATGCTCGCATACCGTAAGATGTTCCTGGCCTCTCACAGCCAGATTTAACAATCTTCTAGCGACCTTATCTTGGGTTCTTCCATCCCGCCCATCGTCTTCATGGGATTGATATTGTGCGCGTATGCATGGACTGCTTGGAATCCAGTGTCCCGACCCCATCTCAATCGTGTCAGCTTCCGGCTTGGCGTATATGCTCTCATCGCGAAGTATTCATCTATATTTTAACCTCTCGCACGTCGCTGACTGACTTACAGCCTGGGATATGGGGTGGGAGTAATTGATGGGACAACACTCAAAGCAGACGCTGCGTGCAGCGGAGCAACCTTTTTCTCGGATGTATGTCAGGTTCAACTATTCAGGCCTTTCTCTAAAGACCTATTTTTCGGCGTTTTGTAGTGCTGTTTTATGTTTGCTGCGGTCATGTTCTTCTGTATGGCGCTCAATCTCCAGTATGTGAGAAACATTCCAAAAAATCTCGTTGTTAACAGGCAACGCAGATTGGTGCTGGTGCACGGTGTGAACGGACAGAAAATGGAGAGATGGTACATTTTAGGAGCAATATTGTTCACCTTGGCCTGCAACATCCCGCCATACGCGGCCGGCGCCCTTGGGTTCGTGTTTCGTCCACCCAGTGACTAAAACAACCTCTCACTGTTATCATGTAGCTACTGGGATGTGACCAGATCGTGTTGGTACAATAGTCCTGATCGTAAAGTTCGGGTCGACTGGCTCCTGGGAACCCAGCTATTCTGGATGTTCCTCACGTCGGCGTGTGAAGTGATCTCATTCCTCACCATTCTGGGGTTCATGGTATGTTCCAGAGTTCAAAAAAATGAAATTACCGTCCTCAGCTCACTGCAGATTTTCCGTCACCGTGTGCGTTCGGTCATGCCTGGATCCATTTTATCGTTCTCCCAAGTACCGCTCCCGAAACCGCCCATCGTTCTGTATCGCAAGATAATTCTCCGAATCGGTAGGCCCCCACCGATTGCCTAATAATCTATTTACTTCGGATACTGCGAAGGTCTGTACCCACTCTTCTCGTGTATCCTGAACATTACTGGCGCTATTCTCGATCTTCATCTGCATCTGGACACGGCCAATACCGAAGTGGTATGTCTTTGTTGGAAGATCATCTAGATCCTTTGGTCTCAATATCAATAGAATTGGAGATTGGACATAGTTGGTAAGTCCCGCCTCGAAATATTGAAGTAATCACTCAAATATATCCAGATTTGTTGGTATTCACCCTTCGGCCATTTATGTACGCCACGCTGGCTGCGACAGATCCTGTGCGTCGATTCGATTTCTTGTTGCGCTGTCCCTGACACCACAGGAGTCGTTTTTACGCGCTCTCCGTGCTCTTCGTCCTCGTCCGGAGGCCCTTCCAGAGCCCATTCGTGCACACCTCGCTCAGGGCTGTAATACCGCCAACACTTGGTCTTCTGGCAGTACTTCTCAGAATTGCGACGTGGAAACTGGTATAAAACCAGAAGGTGATGAGGGCGAAACAGTAGACGATGAGGCAATGCCAGAGTTTACTCGTCAGATATAAGTATTTTTATCCTTGGATTTGAATAGTTCGAGCGCGAGGTCGCGATGAATAAGTATGTAGGAACCAAGTAAGTAGACGCAATTTCGAAACCACAGTCAGAAGGAAAAGCATTCGTGTGGTGAAGGTGTCGGAGCTCGGAGTATAGTTCGTATCAGATCTCCGAAGTTAAAGCATTAATGGGGTAGTGGTAACCTGGGTCGTTGCCACTTGGCATTGTTCACACATTGTCGACCCGCCGGGGGTTCGATTCCCCCTTAATGCATTTTTGGCTTTCAGCTTGGCATTTTCTCAATTGCAAGTTGCTTACAACGACCAGGTAGACTGAGATTGATTGTTTAAAATGAACATCCTATATTTTGTAGCTAGATTAACTCATTACCCTAGAAATACGTGGCGCTATGTGGGTATACAAGAAAGAAGGGAATAACAGCTCCTATGTCCTTGGTTTTACATCGTATCCTCCGTCTCACTCGTCCACCAGGATCAAGTCCGGCGGCGCCCCCGAAATGTCCACCTTGCCCTTGTCGTTCATATCCGCGTCCTTGACACTGCAGTCCACCCCGGCCTCGCGGCACCCCAGTTCCTCTTCCTCTGCAATCCCCAGGCGGTCGCGCGGGAACCACACGATGCGCTGCGGCCGCGATGCTGCTGGGTGGGAGAAGCCGTACTCCTCCTCACTCTTGATACGCGCGGCGCGGTTTCCGACCTTCTGGCGCTCCGTCAGCCCCTCGTACTCCTCGTTCTCGTGCACACTCGACGCGCGCTTCGTGTCCGTCCTCCGCGCCCCCGTCGTCTCGGTCATCTCATGCACCTCCGGCGCGCCGTTGGTGAGAGGCGTATCGGAGCGTTCGACTTGGGAGCTTGCGCCGAAAGTTTTGTCCGCGAGACTCAGCGGCAGTGCATGCTTCAGTGGGCCATACGAGTTGCCGACGAGCAGCTGGAAAAGGACCTTTGATAACATGATGTCAGTGCTACATCCCGGACTCAGCAACGAGAGAAAACACACAGTAAATGCGATTAATGCAATCATGAGAATGGCCTGCGGCGTCGACGACAGATTATTGTTTTCGTCGCGCGCCAGGAAGAAAAGGCCCGTCATGCAAATCTGCACCATCACAAACTTGTTAGCTCAAATAAATCAAGGAGACCCGCCAAAACACACCTGCTGGAGATAGAGCCCGGTGAAAATATGCCCCATGGCCTTCGGGAAGAACAACCCGCCCGTATCCGAGCTCGGCGGCTGCTCGAACTGCCATAGGAAGAGATATTTGTACAACTGGAAGAAAGCAAAGAACGTGAAGCACGCAAGTCCGTTCATGATCGGCGAGATGACTGAGTAGACCAGTGCTAAAGCGAAATGTTAGTGCTCCGATTGGCTGGTGTAAGGTAGGGCGGCACGCACCAATAACAACGAGCAGTGTGACCCCCGGGAATGTGGTCCCCCATGCGATACTCCTCGCACCGTACTTGATATTATAGATGGAGCGCGGCGTGCTTCCCAGCAGGAACAGCTTGACATAGTATATCACGAGCGGCACAACCTGGAGGAATCCACCCGCCGTTCCAGAGAGACCTTGCAGGATCGTGTACCTGTCCAAGTTCCGCGTTCATCTTCAAGAACAAAAACAGATCGACAAGAAGCGCTTACGTGAGGAAGAACGTCGAAGCCGCAGGGAGTTTCTTTGCGAGGATGGACGGGACCGAGCCCGGGTTCTTGAGCAGGAGCGGAAGGGCTGCTATGATGCCCGACGATATAGTTACAATTAAAAACGAGTGCTACTCAGCGGTTAATACGAGGAGGTAAAACGCAACAGGAAGGACACTCACAACAACCTGAAACATAAAGAATCGCGTCATCAGGCTCAGTTCCACCCCGGTGCGCTTTGGGATGCCTTCAAAGACGGCAAACTGTCTCAGGATGATCGGCAGCAGCATCATGAGCACCGCGAGAAGCACAGGCGGGAGAATACCGCTGACGATGCCGGTGACGACGCTCGGGATTTTGTCGATCCAATTGAGCCATGAGGCGGTGGTGGCGAGGGAGTGTAGGTTCGAGACGAGGCCGACGAAGGCAACGGGGAGGGCCCAGAAAATAATCAGCGCGGCGGTTGCGGCGTAGGAGAGGAGCAATCGGATCTGAAAAGGCACGAGTGAGCGCGAATCAATAGCAAGCAAAAGTAGCGCACATTCATTTCGTACGGATTCATCCCAAGGTTGGACCAGATGACGTCCATAGGCGAGACCTCGGTGTACTTTTGAGCCATGCGGTACGGTTCATGGTGCAGCAGAATATTCTCTGCCATGTGCGCCGCGATCTGCCTGTTGAACGTGATAAACGCGCTGCTGACGGCAGGGTACCCCTGGTTCTTCGCGTCCTTTTTGCCCTTCTTGCCCTCCTTCCCATCTTCAATCGTTTGTTCGGCATCCTCATGGTCGCCTTCATGCAACGCGAACCCGTGCTCGTCTTCCGTTGGCGTCTGGTTGGGGTCGCTCAGCTCCTTGAACATCGCGCGTCGCCCCTCCGCCAGCAGCTTGTTGCACACCGCGATCTCCTTCCGCGCCCAGTCGATCGAGTCGACCTTCTCCCCAAAGAAGCCTAAAAAGCCGAGCTTATGTGTCGGGCGGTCTTCCTGCGGAACCACGGGCACACCGCCGCGCCCCTCCGCGTCCTTGGCTGCGCCATTCGCGCCGGCCTTGAGATGCGCCTTTGCGGCGATGGAGAGCAGCTTCGTCTCCGCACTCTCGAGCTTCCCGCACGCAGCCATGCGGCGATCATAGATGTCCGGGAGCGTGCGCAGGTTACGGTTGATCCAGATGCGCTTCACGCCGCCTGGCAAATCCTTGAACATCGCGTGGAGGGCCTCCGGGGTGAGGTATCGCGACGGAATGCCGGTGATGAGAACAGTGTTTGCCTGTACGGACTTGGCGTGTACAGGGCTGACAAGGAACTGTTGACGCGTTGTGACAAAGTGGTTCATCTCGAGGCGGATGTTGTAGAAAATCCAAAAAGTGAAAATCCATGTGAGGCCGAGGTGGGCCCACGTGCGGGCTTGCTTGTCGGGTGCGATGTTGCCAATGATGAAACGGTCGAGGCCTGTGCCGGGGGGACTGACGGCGGTGTTGACGCTGGTGAGTGGAAGCAGGAGGGCCCAGGATATGATCCACATTGGGAAGAAGACGCGAGTCATCATAAGGAGAAAGCGGACGAAGAAGTAGGCGTCTGCGCCATTGGCATGCAAAACGCCCTTGTAGTCGGCGTTGTAGACAGCCCATGGCCAAGAAAATGACGAGGCAGCTCCAGTGAGAGGTCCAATGCGTTTTCTGCGTGTTTTCAAAAATTATCAGTCACAAGCGAATGGAATGATGGGAACGGTGGGAAAGCGAGAAAAATCATGAATCATGATCAGGGATGGTGCATGCGAAGACCGCCATGAACAGCACGCGAGCAATAGACACGGTAGAATGGTACGATGCAGAAATCCGAGAAGCGTCCCAGTTTAACCCCTGCCTCACGGATTGTGAGGTCATAGACCACCGGAGACAAGCGGATGCAGGCGGAACCTAGTCTGTTCCGTTCCACTAGGAAAATGGGCCAATTGGCGTGGCGCTGCAAAGGGGATTTCGACAGGAGAAACGATGCATCCCTCGAGGGCATGCTCCTATTGCCCACAAAATGCGTGTTGCGCACAAAATTCGAGCGCTGAAAGAAAATCGAGAAGAACTCACGAAGGAACTGGCACGTAAGTTCTTGGTTCATAAATGGCTTTGAAGTATGGTCGAATCAAGGTGAATATTGCGATTTCTGCGGCGAAAACTATGCCGTTGAAGACAAGGGCAGTGATAAACGTCGGTGTCGACGCTGTGGACGCCTGGGCGGATGAAGCCCTATAGACACGAAAAATGAGTAAACAACGAAAATGAAAGGGAAAGGGACGTACATGACGCGATGAAGGGAAAGGAGGAAAAGCGAACCGTGTATTTATGTAAAGTCTATTTTCGATTAGTGACGTCCCGAATTTGGTGTTGTATGCATCAGAAGAACTTTGCTTCTATTTTTGATGGGTGACGTCGGTTGTATGTAAACAACAACTTTTCCTGAGTCTCAACCATTTTCTCTTCCTGTTTCTCCTTTCAAATTTCAAAGCTTCTGGGACTCGACACGATAGGAAATTTCACTGCAAAACCAAAAAAATCACCACAAAATTACAAGACAGGGATTGAGCAATTACTTACCGGGGCCAGCCGAGGCCTTGTCTTGGCCTTGTTCTTCTTTGTGATCCCTTTGTGCCAATCACACCGCCTCCGTTATCTCGCACTTCCTCATCAGTTCCTCATCCCCACATGGCGTAACCTAAGCGATCACAAATCTCTTCAAACTTTGGCGAAAGTTCAGTGTTCTCTTGCACTTCTCTTCTTTCTTCCCTTGCGTCAAGTACGAGTTGAGCAACGTTAATTCTGAACGAGCCGTCGCGTCCAAGAAACCGGCTACATAGCGGAACTTGTCCGGGGCCCTACAAAGTCCGACCAAATTACTTACATTCCATTCTTGCTATCAACGTTGTTGACTCGATATGACTCTCAATATGTAGCTTGCACGGCAAGTTCGACTTTCCATGCCCGGCGTTCGTGGGCGACGCTCGGAATTCTCAAGCCAGAGGCGCACGATTCATCCGGTGTCAAGCAAAGTCAAGCGTGTTGTTCTAGCGTCTCGGGAGCACTGGCCCTACAGGAACCGAATTCATCCTCCGAAAGCTTGCAAGCCCCCTCAAGCTACGGACGACTGCCCACGTCCGGTATTCTGGTTCTGGGATCGCGGACCTGGAAGCACTACGTGCCGGAACCGTCTGCAATAATTTATCCTCCGAAAACTTAAAAGGTCCACAAGTCGTCTCGGTATACCGTATCGTTTAGGAGAGATCTCCGGAGACTCTCGTTGACTTATGCACCGGCAGGGTCCAACATGCAAGCTATCTTCGGGGATGTAGGCTCGTCACCGTGCGACTGTTCCTTGCTGGCAGGAGCATCACTTCGGTGGTATCCAGAAAGCGCACGGAAATTAAACGTGGTATGCAGCACTCCCACTCCCATTCCGTGGCATGTGTACCGGCCGTCAGCAACCCAGGCAGTGCCAGGGTTGCATATACGCCCGGCAAGTCAGGGCTAGCATGAAGCTACGTGTCCAAAGTGCGAGATGGTCCCTGCTAGCTATCAGCCTAGTAGCTGGCAAGTGCTAGTAGCAACCCACGGGAGCACGGACCCGAA